CATGCACATCTATTTAGAGTTAACTGTGAGTTCATAGAAAATACATGGGCATAGTAAACAGGGTTTTGAAATGACAATTTTTTACTGGTTGCAAGTGCTAATTGCTAGTTTCTCAAGGGTATAGAATTAATCACCTGCTAGATTTACAGTCTCTAGGTTGAGACCTGAGGATGGAGGCAATAAGAAAAGCTCTTGAGGGACATATCATATGGTGAGTCTAAATATCAGTCTCTATGCATATGTAAATTGGTAACAAAGTTTTTTCAAAGCTCAAGTATGCTAATTTCAAACAGGCAAGACTAAAGCTAGCTTTTAGCAGCTGTTTAACGTCTGCCTGTGGGTGGTAGAGAGAGCTTAAAATACAAGCAAACAGCGGTGCATAAGTAATTAAGCAACATTTTGCTGGGCATAAATAATTCTGTTTATATTGCTCTTTTGAAGAGTATAGAATACAAAATAACAGATCAAGTGCACCTTGGGTCATCAGAGGTTAAATGTTCTTCCTCTTTACCTTGCCTCAGGTTTTCCATTTTAAGTGAAATAAATAACACAGTACGCTAGGTGATATTTTATAACTTCCCTGGAAAGGAAATTATTTACGGTTAGAATGAACTGTACATAGAAGCATCACACTTGGAGTTCAACTGTTTTGTTTTTCCTGTTTTCCTCCAGCACCGTATCAGAAGAAAGTTCAGTAATAAAGTGCCAATTTGTTTATTAACATTATTTACTTTAGGATTCTAGAAAGTTAAGTTGAGGTTGTTTGACAAAATGTAAAAAAGTAAATAACAAATACAACCTTTTCCCAATGTAGATGAAAGAATAATATTGTCAGCATTTTTAAGAACTAATTTTAATTAACCATTGAATTTATGTGAACACACATATATACAGACATATATGTGTATATATATGTTTATATATATTTTTTTACATGTATATATTCTTACTGATTTTTGTCTAACTGTAAGGATTGTCAACATAGTGTATTCAAGATAATCACCTGATTTAAAAAGATCTTACTAAGCTGGTAGGAGTGCCTAAAGCGAGAGAAAGACTGGTCTACAAAAAATTGCATTTGATTCAATAAAAACCTTGAAATTGACCAGAAGGAAGATGAAAGATTTAACACGATTTAGAAATACCTAGTCTGGAAAAAAGGATTATAGACACTAACTCTGAAAAGAGTCAGAGGTTTAAACTTTGTTTATGTTAAATATTCATGGTTTAAGGAGGTAATAGTGAAAGGAAGTACTCTGCTGGGCATCCAATTTTATAAAGACCTTTAACACGTTAGAGCTGGGAAGGCAGGAACAGCCATTTATGTGCAAGATTGTTGTTTTCCTTTGCAGTGAAGAAACAGGTAAATAAAATGGAATTTTCAAAATATCTCCTTTTGCATCCTTAATATTCTAAAAAAATACAGACAATTGGAGGGAAAGATAGACTTTTTTTCCCCTGGAATTTCTAATTTTGTTCTTGAATCTACTGTGAGGTCAGATTTTCAAACCACAGGACTAGGAGAAAAATAGATAGGGCAATGCATTGTAGGTGCAGATGTCAACTACATTCAGAGTTGATCTGTCAGGCTTTCCTATGAAAGAAAAGAAAGCTTTATGTCTTGTTCTTCTTCCTCTTATACTGTCGATTGATAACAACACCTGACTGGTGTTCTTAATCAAACAAAAAGATGGTTAAAGAGTTAAAGAGCACTTAAGGAATTAGCATTTCATCAGGACGGTACTCTAGAGCTGCCTTGCCTTGCAGACAGCTCAATTTGGTCTACTTGTAAATTACTTTGAGCACAGCAATGATGGTAGATAGACTTGCTACTTAAGTCACAGAGACAGAGGACACCAAGGACAAGCAACAACACCACACACTTTCCATATCCTTATGAAAACAGAAACATTTGTTTGAATTTTTTTTTTTTGGCAAAATTGCATGGTACTGTGGATGTAGTGATAGAGGTCCTAACTACTCAGGGAAGAAAGGGAAAGTCTTTATGGATTCTAGAGTAATTTAGTAATTTTGACACAGGGGGAGGCCCCTGTGTCAAAATACCAACAGATAAAAGCAAAAACAGGAAAAGATAGCAATGCATCCCCACTTTTTTTGTATAGTAAATAAGTTGAGGTTTTACCTCTTTAATTAGTACATCTCTGAAAATTGTCCCTATTGACAGTGCACATTCTGACTTCCATTTTGGGGAACCCTGTCTACTTATACTTAATACTTGGATAGCACTAGAGTAGAATACTTTTCTCTTTGTGGTTAAGTGAACTCTTTTCATCTCAGTGTAGGTGATCTGCAGTGTTTGGCTTTGCTGTCCACCCTTCTGCTTTGTACCTTTTCATTCATTTGCTTTATCAAGAGAAGACAGTTACTAAAAAATAAAACAACATTAGAAATGAAATGACTTCAACTTGGCATGCTGTTGAGACATCAGGAAACGTTAGCCATTTACTTTGTCACTCACTTGTCAGTGGAAGTGTAGATGTTTCACTGTAATTCATCAATTAGAACAATATTCACAATGTTCTGATTGGTCAACATTAATTTGTATCTGTACAACTGCTTGTGTTGTGTTTTTTGGCAGAAAAAGTGTAACACTTTTCAAATTGATCAGTCTAAATAAGTATAAATAAATCAGTCTAAACCAGTCTAAATCAGTATAGATAAAGCAGTGATCAGTGTCCTCAAGTCATTGTGTCTCATTCTCTGAATTAACATAAATTTGCAGAGTATGTGGGGACAGTGTGTATATAGCTAGAAAATATCAGAATATATATTATATATTATGTGCACATAATAATAATGTTATGGTGTATATCTTAACATTCAGTGTTAGAGTATTTAAAAATCTTGACTAGAGAAAACACTCATTATTAAATTGTATCTTAAGCTCTCACACCCACACTTCCTAACAGTCATTCAAAAAATACTCTGTTGGGGGTTAGTCTGATGCTTATATTTTGATGCTAATTACTGTCCCTCAAGATCTGGGTACTGCCTGGATAAACCTATTCTTGTTATATAAACTGCCTAAGACATTCCACCTGATTGATTGATTAAAGGCTTAAACCTGGGCAGCCTCATGGCTAAGGTTCCTGGGCTTTGAGTTCAAGAGAATCATGGGAAACAGACAGACAGATGGGAAGAGAGGAGGAAGGAGGACATCATGATGGGTTAGGGTGGAAAAGAAACCATGTGGGCCAAGAGGAAGGATTCCTATAATAGCATGGAAAGGCCCAGATGAAGAATACAAGCAAGTATTTATAAGATTATGGATGGAAGGTAGCCCAGAGGAGGATGGTTAAGGTGGATGGCATTGGATGGGGGTTGGGACGTATATGGTGAGGTTATTGAGAAAGCATAGGTTGATTATCTGCCCACCAAAATATAAGCATCAAACCAATCCCTAACAACTCTGTCAAAATTAAACTGTCTATTTCAGAAAAACAAATAAACAGATTCCAAAAAAACAAACACCTTGTATTGTCCCAACATGCTGGCTAATTAATTTTGTTCAAGTTAAATTAGCTGAAAACTCAAGCTTCCTACATTGTGAAACTGTTTATTTCAAATGAAAGCTACCTAACAGTCATTGGATAAATTTAATTTGAGAACCACATAGTATTACTCCCAGCCCCCTGTAAACTTAAAAAGCTTTACTTTGTCAGTTTTCTTTCAGATGAGCTAAAGAGAAAAAAGCACCTATGTACTGTGGAAGAGCTTGCCTAGGAACCTGATGAGACAATGATTGCTGATGCAAGACAATGTTAAAATCACCCCAAAACATGAGCAGCAGCTACAAAGGAAGGAATCTTGCACTTTAAACCAGCTATTATACAGACTTACTTTTGCCATGGAAGGACAGTATGTTTAATATACCTCAGATATGTTTAAGCTCCTCTTCCAACTTATGCTTATGGTTGTTTTTAACATATAAGTTTGTATAGACATTGGGCCAAACATGATGACATTATCAAATACACATAAGTGCTCCCAACAAGAAAAAAAATGTTCTTCAAATATTAAATTTTTATGAAGAAAGCTATCCCATGTGTATTCTTTGGGCTAAAAAGACTTTTGAGGAAACACTAAAATCTGTTGTATTATCCACTCCATCAAATCAAACCAGCAGTAATCTAAAAGGCATGACAATTCTCTTCAGGGCCCCTCAGGGCTCAGCTTTTATGGTTCTCCTTTTGGAGCTCCCATCCCCTCCAGGTCTTTTTATTTCCCCAAAGGACAATGCATGGAGAGGACCTAAAACCCCGGTTCAGATATAGCCCAAGTGGATTCCCTAGTAAGGGGAGCAGGGACTCTCTCTGGCATGAACTCAGTGGCAGGCTCTTTGATCACCTTCCCCTGGGGGATGCAGCTTTGCCAGTCCACAGAGAAAGACAATGCAACCAGTCCTGATAAGACCTGATATACTAGGGTCAGATAGAAGGTAAGGAGGACCTCCCCTATCAGTGGACTAGGGGAGGGGAGGGGTATTGGGGGAGAAGAGGGAAGGAGAGTGGTATTGGGAGGAGATGAGGGAGGGGGGCACAGCCAGGCTACAAATTGAATAAATTGTAATGAGTAATAATAATAGAAAAGGAAAAATAATTAAAAGTTAAAATTTTAAAAATGAAAAAAAAAAAAAAGGCATGACCAGAGTTAAAACAAACAAACAACAAAAGGTAAGGTAAAAAAAATAAGAAAAAGAAAAAGAAAAGGTAAGGTAGGGTGTCTTATTGAGGACTGGAGGTCTGCTGATTGCCCAGGAAGCCTTGAATCTGGAATCCTCTCGTGTCTATTCCCTCTGTTTGCCTATCAGCTATATACATGTACACACCGATGTAGTGTTCACCCTTGTTTTGATTTCTGAACCGAGATTCTCGTCAAAGGCATCAGTAGATCTGTCAACTCTACCTCCTGTTCAGGGAACTCTCAGATAGAACAATTTCAGTATTTGTGGTTTTTTCCTTTATTTGTTTTCCTTATAGCTTTTTATGGAAATCATTTTACAATGTTGAGATCAAGTGCAGCTGAAAAACTTACTATATTTACTAATTTATGTAGCAACCAAAAGGTAAAGGAAAATAAAACAAAAACATATTTAGTAAATTCATGAATTTAAAAACTAGCCCTGGGGGAAAATCAGCGCTTTATATTTTGTATCACTGCTGTGTTTTAAAAAAAAAAATCTAAAAATAAGAATTTCATATTCTCATATTTTGACAAGTACTTTACATTTGCTTGAATAAATATTTTACTATGAAAGGAATATGATTAAAAAGGAAAGAGCCCCACACTATTAACTTCTCAGGAACATTAAAGCTGTCAAAGTACACATTCCATAAGCCCTGGGATGCAGCAGCGCGAGGGTGACTCTAACCAATCCTCAGATGAGATTGCCTTTTTCTTCATTATTTTTAGGTTCTGAAGAAAGCCTGTGTCAAGGCGGGGAGTGGTGCACTTCCGCACTCAGGTCAACTAACCAAGTTCAGCTCCTCTCTGAAGAGCTTTCACATACAGGAGCATAAAGACAATAGCACAGCATATAGAGATCCAGTAAGTCAATCAACTCTAAAATTTAGACTTCAGGAAACATATTTATCCTCCTTTATGAAAACACAGCTTTTCCTTGTAGCCATGTTTCATACTGTTAAAGTCAATTTTCACATGGAAATTATATTTAGTGACTGAAAAAAAAATCACTCATAAATGTTGTAACAGAGAAAAAAGGGGCACTTCCTGCTGCAAGAGACTCAGTTTGTTTTGTTTGTAATTATCTATCTGTAGAGTAATTGAGATCTGAAACAGCAGCTAATAGCCTCACTGTTTCAAATTACTACCGCCTGTAACTTTACCTTGCCAAATATCAAAGAGCTTTTCAATTGCAACACTACCACTAAAACTGGGTCATTTTGTAGCAATTAATTGGAAGAGGTGATTAATAGCTTAATAATGGGTTGATCTGTGTTTAAAAGTGCCGGGGACGTGCGTAGGAAAGGAATATGTAATTTTGTATTCCTGAAATATAACCTAATTGAAAAATCAGCAGTTGGTCTTATTTACTTTAGGCTTGTACTTCCAAACCCTCTCTTGATTTACTCTGAAAAAAAAAAATGTGTAAATTTGGCTTTTTTTCTAATTAACTCCTTGAACATTGAACACACTGTATTTAAGGAACACAACTCTGCTGAAACTGACTGTGTCCAGGAAGCATCTCAGGAATCTGAGGGCAATACGTGTCAAGCATCTACCTAGATGTGTGTAGGATAGGGCCCAGAGATACCCCTGGGCACACAATACGTTGACCCATGCGATGGCCTCCCTCAAGAGCCTCAACAATCCCACTCTTGTGAGCTTGTGTTCGCTTCTGTGCATCCTTGTAACATTCAACAATGACTTAATGGCCATGAAATCTAGCTACATACCAAATTTTCAACCCTGAAAACATACAAGTAACATTCTACATGGATAAGCAGACTGTAGTTATTGTATTTAGGAATATAGACGTATAGTCATACAACTATGTGTATAACAGTAATTAATAAAAAAGAGGTCATCGGTTTGAAAGAGGGAAAGGAGTGCTAAGTGGGACAGTTCAGAGGGAAGAAGGGGAAGAGGGAAATGATGTAATTATATTACAATCTCAAAAAATACGAGTTAAAACTCTGTTACGGTTATTCATGACATTCTTCCACAAATATCCAGTGTAATTTTGTAAGTTCATAAAACTGAATGCTCAAAACTTCTACACAAAGTAGCAAAGCAACAGTCTTTAGCTTGTCAAAAGGGTTGTAGTTTTGGGGGAAAGGAATATTTTTATAAACTCAAGAGACGAAGTTAGCAAATGGCAATGGGACGGAGTCCCCTTTGTCCGAGTCCTGATAGTGTCATCGCAATTAATATCAAGAAGCCTGGAAGTGCCACTCGCTGATATTCTCTTCTTGTTTGCTGTATTCACATGTTGTGTCATCTTTCTCTTTTAGGCTGTGAGAAGAAAATTAATCTTCTTTTTTTTCCTCACAAATTCTTCCCCATTGTGCATTGCTGATTCTCCTTTTGTGACAATTTTATCTCAAATGAATCTGTAGAGATACTAGACCGTGTCTCCCAGGTTGTGTTTACAGTGGGGGAATGATGCAGCATGAGAGGGAACAGCGTTACTTGGTGTTTGTTTCTTGGGCTCAAGCATGAAATTCCAAACGAAGCGGTACATAAACTTCCCTGGAATAATATATCCCAGTTTCCTGCTTCTACGAATGTTGGGATCCAATCTTGAAACCACATGTTCATTAAAAGTCAAGGTATTGTGGGGCAGTTCAGACTGTCACTGATTTGCTGCTTCCAACTCTTTCCCATACATTGGGAAAGATATAGGAAATAGAGAAAGAAAATTAGCTGAGTTACGGACTCTATATCAAAACAAAACACACCAACAAATAAATCTAACAGGATGTGGTTAAAATATACACAGTTGGGTTTACAGCGCTGCAGTAAATACACAATGGCGGGCTGTTGATGTGGCTCTTCAACTCTCAACTGAAAACTACGACAACAATGGCTTTAAGGAACTATGCAGGCTATCAGGGTCTTTCCTGCTTTCAGCAGACAAAAGATAGAGAAACTCCCAGGAAAGAATTCAGAACTCCTGCTGGTCAGTGAGCAGAACACTCTGGCTGTCTTTCAGTTCAGGGTGAAGATCTCTGATGCCTATATGGCCATGGGATTTGGATGGGTGAAGACTATTCCAGTTGATATAGCTCTTTGTTTTGTACAGTTTGTGTCATTTTTTTCCCCTTGAGATAACTGCTTTTTTAAATTAAATTTTTATTTTATCATCATTATTATTATTATTAGTAGTAGTAGTAGTTACATTTTATTAACTCTGCATCCCAGCTGTATCCCCCTCCCTCATTCCCTCCCAATCCCACCCTCCCTCCCTCATCTCCTCCATGCTCCTTTCCAAGTCCACAGATTGGGGAGGACCTCCTCCCCTTCCATCTGACCCTGTTTTATCAGGTATCTTCAGGACTGGCTCTGTGGCCTAGCAGGACAGCTCCTCTCTTATATAGACCTACAAGATATGATGAATTTTTATTTTTTATATTAATTACAGTTTATTTTCTTTGTATCCCAGCTGTAGCTCCCTCCCTCAATTCCTCCTAATTCCACCTTCCTTCCCTCATCTCCTCCCTGCCCCTCTCTAAGTCCACTGTTAGGGGAGGTCCTCCTCCCCTTCTATATGACCCTAGCTTATCAGGTCTCTTCAGGACTGGCTGCAATGTTCTCCTCTGTGGCCTAGCAGGGCTGCTTCTCCCTTGAGGGGAGAGGGGAAAGTCAAAGAGCCAGCCATTGAGTTAGAAAGACACACATGGTATATACTCACTTATAAGTGGATACTAGACCTATGAGATAGGATAAACATACTAAAATCGGCACACCTAAAGAAGCTAAACAAGAAGGAGGACCCGGGGTAAGATGATCAATCCTCACTGAGAAAGACAAATGGGATGGACATTGGAAGTAAGAGAAAACAAGTAACAGGAAAGGAGCCTACCACAGAGGGCCTCTGAAAGACTGTACCTAGCAGTGTATCAAAGCAGATGCCGAGACTCATGACCAAACCTTGGGCAGAGTGCAGGGAATCATATGAAAGAAGGGGGAGTTAGTATGACCTGGAGAGGACAAGAGCTTCACAATGACCACAAAGCTGTGTCACAATGGCAGTTATGAACAGTTAGCAAAGGTGTAGGGAGGTTTTTCAAAAGCTCATGGAATTCTAGTAAGTCCCCATCAGTACACTTCATTGTTTGCTAGGCTAGATTCCTCTGGAGAATATTTCTTTTGAAACAGGGCTTCTGTATGTTACCTAGTCTGAACATCTGCTCCTTTTGCCTCAGTTTACTGCATGCCTGGGACTATAAGAATGCATCACTATATTTTGCCAGAGAATTTCTTTTGATTTTGTTTTTAAGAACACAGCACTATAATGCCTTCACAGCAAAAGATACTTTGTATATAGATTTAAAATTAATTATATCAAGGAAAGGTTTAATATACTATGGAGGTAACCAGACTATGAATACTAATGATTTCTAATCAGGGCAACCAATGCAGGGCACAATGTTCTCTCTCTTCCTCTCTCTCGTCTTAATATTCCTCCCTCCTTTTCTCCCTGAAAGCCATGTGTGTGAGGGTTGATGCCCATAGATGACAGGATACGGTGTTTCATCTCCTGGAATGGAGTGACAAATCATTGTGAGCTGCCTTATAGGAATGCTGAGAGATAAACTCCCATCATCTGGGTGATCAGGAGGCATTTTAATTGACTGGGCCATTTCCCTAGCTCCACAAATGGTAATATTTGCCCTAGGATTATTAAGCAATGGTGAAGGAAATGGCTCAACAGGTGAAATGCTTGCAATGTAAGCCTGAAGACCTAAGCTGGATCCCAGGTCCCACGTGAGAAAACAAATCCTGTGTCCCACATCTCTAATCCCAGAAACCCTCTGACATGAAAGTGGAAGAGGAAACTTTGCCTGGAAGCTCACTGGACAGCTAGCCTGGTATACAGAGCAGCAACAGAAACAAAAAGACCCTGTCTCAAACAAGGTATATGGAGGGGAAAACTGACTCCTAAAATTGCCCTTTGACCCCATCATATGCATTATGTCACATACAGATATACACAAAATAATGATGACGATAATAATAATAAAACATGTATACCATTGCATATACAAGTATAAAGGCACACACACAGTAACGATGAAAAAATAGTAAAATTACAAAAAAAATTGTTGAGTAAAACCTATGATTTTAGGCACTTAATATGATATAAATATCTACATCCTTATCTCTTGTCTCAGTGGTTGTTTTTGACATCAGTGTGAATAGACTTAAATGATTGGTCAACTCTGCAGTCATGACAGAAGAAAGAGTGTGACTCATTTTTCTCTCTAGAGCCCTTTCTCGGAGAGACAGAGATTGCGGGGGCAACAGACATCACACTCAGGTCAATATTAAAACTCTGCCTGGGATGAGGTTGAGGAAAAGCAGATAAGGAAGAGAGTATAATGAACTGTTTGGAAATTTGCAGAAGGAAAAGGTAAATTGGCTATTATAATAACAAATAAATGTGTCTCATGCATTTCACATTGTAAGTTTCCATAGATCACTTACAGTTCTCATAGTATTGAATAAGGAGTGTGTGTCTGTGAGGAGTCCATGTGCTAAGAAATAACAAATGGGAGCACATTTGGTTATTAATATTTTTGTTTTTGTTTTCTTGGAAAGCTGGTTAGTCATGTCTTTCTGATGGCCTTGGCAAACAGCCGTTGCTCTTTTGTCTCATGTGTCTGGAAGTGCGCTGGGTGACCAGCCAGTGGTACAGAACAGTGTGGAAGGTCTGTGATGAACAGCACGTTGCTTTGAGGAACCACCGTCCACTTGGGAAGCAAACCGCTTTAAGATGTCTTGTTGTTTCTGTGAGCAGATTTGGTGAAGTCTCAGATACCTGAGAAACAATGGCTACTACTTTCACACTCTTAAGGTTATAA